TGCTCTATGCTACCTGTAGCTCATTTCGATCGCCAATTGCACAGTTTGTTTTTGCTATACGTCTTTTTTACTAGAGCCTTCTAAAACGAATAATGAGATCCGCTTGGTGAATCTTCGAAGTCGGGTGTAAAGAATTTTTTTTACAAGTGCACTTTGTTGGTGTCCAAATGCAACCAACTCTTTTAGTAAAAAATAATACATTTTTACATCATTAAATTCACTGCTTAATATTGAAAATATATTCTAATTAGTAAAATGCCTTTAAGATCTTTTGTTGCATATAGTGGCCTGCAGTGACGTAGTTTTAATGTATGCGCGAGGGGGTTACCGGCCATCTCCTTCTAATATACATTTTTTGTAATTTAAATATATATAAATACTTAAATTACAAAAAATGAAAACTTCTTTATATCTACACCCTACTTACAATATTCAAGTAATGTTTCATTTCAGAGGGAGTTTTGTCCCCCAAATCCTCCTCATAACTACGCCACTCCTGTGCTATAAAATACGAGCTTTTAACAAAAACCTTTTTTCATGAAATTTTCATCTCAATAGATATTAAATTGCATGTGAAAATTAGTATTTGACTTGAAGCAAAACATGCAAAGTGCTATTTATGAGATAAATACAATAATTCATCTCCATTTTTTTTAAATTTTGGGACATTTTTTTAAAATTGTATGCTTGGGATCTATTTGAAAACTTTTAATGAGCACACTTAGATTTGTTGAAAAGATAGTTAAAGAAAAAATTCAGCGAGAGGAATAAACTAGTATGAATGTTTGAAAGACCGCTTTGGCTTAAATTATAAATGTTTTAATAAATAAAAAAATGTCCTTCCTTGTTGATAATAGGTATATTTTCTATTTCTTCTACTTTTATCTGAATATCTGGACTGCTAATTCTTTACATTAAAAAAAAAAATCTTGTTTTTATTTATGGAAAAAAAAAAGGTTCAACATATCCTCTGCTTACTTTTCATTATTTTATAATTGACATTTATTTTATCATACTTAATATCTTATAACATTTAATAATTAAATGTTATCTAACTGAAAGTAAAATATTATTGCATAAAAATTGAGGTCAATTGTCATTTATTAATGAATAAATTCCGTTTCGATCTTGGTTAATCTTGAGAAACTATAATATAGAACAATCTATTTTCCAAACTTGCTGGAATCCTGGCGATTTTGGATCACTGTAATAATATTTACGCCAACGTATAAATATTATTTTTGGACAATTCTTGCTACAAGATTTTGACACGACAATTTTTTATGCCTGGTTAAAACTATAGAAAACTTTCCAGCCCTCATTAAAATAAGCAATGAGTCTCAACATCTGTATGTTTTAATGAGCTCAAATAGTACAGTGATAGGGTAACTTTTCAAAAAATAACACATAAATGTTTCTTTTGATTAAAACGAAATAGCCGTGTTTCAATCTCTCAACAGGCAGGAAATTATTAGTTGCTATAAGACAAGCAACAAAAAAAGAAGAAAAAAAAGCCTTCATGTGCTTGCACCCTGACTGTTACAATTCAGATTCAAGTGAAAAAGAATTCATACAATAAAAACAAGTTAAGTTTTGAAATGTGACATTTATTTAAAAATAACTTTTAAAATATTTAAATTCATATCAGAATAAAACAAACAGTTAACAACCACACAGAAACTGTTAAAAAGACTAGATACATTTGAATAATAGCAGAAACTGGTGGAAAATATTTATTTTGACATCTATCTTTTTTTTAAGAAAAGCTCTTATTTCCATGAGAGTTACTGAAACAATTGCATTTGAAATATGATACATAAAATATTTTTCTGTATGGATGATAAGTAACATGCTACAAAAAAAAAGGTTTAAATTAAGAAAACCATTGTAATTTTGTTAGTAGAACCCTTTTTGTAGAACATGATATAATGCAAAATATCAAAATTTAAATAGATCAATAAGAAAATAATATTGGGAATAATTTTTTTAAATGACCTATTAAGTCTTTATCATTTTGAAAAAATAAATTTTTATTTGTTTATACTAAAATAGAATGAATTTTTTCAATTATTTAACACATAAAATTCGAAACAATTTAAAGGAAAACTTAATTGATTATTGTTAAAAGTCTTTTAATATACTTTTTTAACATGATTATACTGATATTATGAAGCATTATTGAAATAAAGGAGATCATACTACAAGTTAAGATAGTAAAACCCCTTAAAATTGTGAAGTAGCATTGGAGGTAGTGATTTATTAAATTTTTATTAGAGTTTCGATCTATTAAACTTTTGTTTAATTCAAAGTTTAGAACTTTGTCACATTATTTTTTAATTCTAAATCTTATGTTTTTCATATGCTTAGTCTAAAACAAAATTTTATTTTTCATATAATGTATCAAAATTATTTTATACTTCAAAGTGACAAATTTTCTATTATGCATAAAAATATACAATATAATTAAAAGAACAAATTTTTAGAATGCATGAAGTGAAATGCAATTTGAACCATATTGTTTGTACTTCATACCTTAGTAAACAAAATGGATTATTGCACTATTACAAATCATAAACATATATTTGTTTTTTACAATTGATTACAGTATGACTAAGATTTAATTCGTTAATATTCTCCCCTCAATGCATCTGAAAAATTGTTTAACAATGAGAGAACAACTATTCAGAAATATTTCTAGTCAAAAAAGTAGATTATGACAGTTGGCAAGAAACAATTAGCCAGCAATGATTAACAATAACTATTTGTTTATAATATTTCAAACAATAAATTCAAGAAGAGCTTTTCCCATTATTAAAAATAATGCAACCTTTAACAATGACACAAATGTTGCTTTTAGCATAAAGAATATTTGATATTGAGACATCATTTGGAGGATTTATAAAGAAAAACAATTTCATCAGAACATTCTTTAAACTTTGATAAACAAAAGAACATATACCAATTAACATGATCATCGAGAGAAAAACAAGTTTAGTATTCATTTTAGAGAGATTTACTTATTTTCTTACAAACCTCAACATTTAGACAGCAAATAAGACTTTCAATACAGTTTATCTATAAAACTAGCAGCCCTGTAATTATTTTCACCTTTGATTTTCAATTCTTCAAATACACATTAATTTATGGGTACTTCTCATAAGATATATTGAACTCTTTTGATATGTATGTAATTCACTACAAAACTTTAACACTATACTTTTCTATATTATTTTAAATTAATGGGAAAAGCTATCATTGCATAATACCCTATGTTTCGCATGTAAGAAAATGGTATTTGTCAGCAGAAATATTTCGTAAAAATTTTTTTTAAATACATGAAAAATTATTTTTAGGACTGATAAATAAGTTCACTTATGATTATTTTTTTTATACAAGAATTAGACTATTTGCCCTTTTATTTACTTTAATCTTATTTTTGGTTAATATAGCGTGATTTCGTACATTATGTTTCTGAACACATAACAAAATCCTCAATTATTTTCCTAGAAATCTTTCACACACTAAAATAAAACTTATCTAGTAGAGTCATTCGTAAACCATCTTATTTAAACTTTATACTCGTTTTTATTTGTACACACCTAAACACTGTTTAAAAAATAATAAATTGGTTTTACATCATGTCAGTTAACATCATGAATGTCCGCACTTGGCCTTTATGATTAAAAAATATATATAGTTAAGGCATTTAAAGAAAAATTATGCAATAATTTATGTTAATTGAAGTCATTGGACAGAATTTTTTATTCACTCTAAAAGTTTTTACTGTGAGTTAAGTTTAAACTTGTCAAGAGCCTAAAATCTGTGTTATGCTCCCATCTTTTTGAGACTGCCCTCATATTTATATTGTAACAGAAGCAATTTCTTTACAAATGTTTCGTTTTCTATTCATTTACTAAAAGTAACATTTTAAGTTCAATTTTTATAAAATATATTTTAATAATAAACGAAAAGTAAAATTAATTAAAAAAAACTGTTGTAGGAAATTACATATATATATATAAACAAGCCTATAGAAAACCAAACATCAAATATTTAAAGTGCATTATTTTTCACTTTAAGGTCATATTTTATGGATTTTAGATACTTTGTATCTTTTCAGGACTTTTTTCAAGAGTCTTTTGGATAATCAACATCCTAGCCTTGGATATAATGAAGAGTACATGATAGCGATCATCAAAACCTTCTGTCTAGTTATTAAAAGATGGTCAATTTAATACTCTGCATTGTATGATAAAAATGAGAAAAACATAAATACTAGATGAGTGTTTTTGAGGCCCTATCTGAATGATGAAACTTTTTAATGAACTAAAGTTCAATATTATTTGTAAAGACGAAATCACAGACAAAACATTAAAAATGAATAAAAAAATTTTAACAAATGAAGATGGCACTTAAAATAATCAGTTAATAAAGGATAATTTTTCCTACACCTGGTCTGACAAGTTTTAAGAGGAGAACAAGATAGTGTGTTGATATGGAATGGATATGCATGTTTGATGCCACATTTCATTTAATAATTTTTTTTCCTCTTTTTTTTTCTGAGTTTTAGTAAAAAATGGACACAAGCCAAAAGTGTAAGCTTACACATAAGTACTATAGATATATTCTTACAATGCTATCACATATGATTAAAATGTTTAAATCACTCATAATATTGACAAAATGTTAAAACTAAGAGAGCATTTTTACCCAAAATGATGTTTTAGAGAATCTAGCTCAAAAACTGAAAGCAAAAATAGTAATAATGACATTTAAAAAAACAAACATTATGGACCCTCAGGGTTAGCAAGCTTACCGCTCAACAAATTATCATACAGAAACACAAGAATAAATAATTTTATTTAAATGTGACCCCTAAATACATAATCAGTTTCATATTTAAAAAAAAAAAAGATTTATGATGAAGGGAAAAAAAAAAAAAACGTTTTACTGGTAAATATGTGTAAAAAAAATTTTCCAGGATCTTTTCTGTGGGTGAATTGGATGGCACTTAAAAATCGTTTTAAAATGACCGATTAAAATCTATATCCAGTCTCCGTGAACTTCGAAAAAGGTCTCTACTTTTTTCTTTCAAAAATAAAGCTTTTAGAGTAATAGTGCAAAAAAAGAAATTCTCCGTTCTAAAACCCAAATAGGCTACTTATGTACACATTGCGATCCTATTTGAATTTCAAAGAAGCGAACAAAAGGATTTTTCATCCCTTAGTTTGATTTTGTATTCTCTCTTTTTTTTTTAGAAACAAAAATCCGACTAAGCATGTGATTTGACATGAAAAGTCGTGCGTAGATCCCAAAAGCTACCATAAAAAACAACTCAACCCTGTCTGCAGAGAATGAGCTTGTAAATAGTAGTTGATAATAATAATATTTGTAATGCACAACTATAGTGAGCATGTATTTGGTCGAACAAAGCACACCTTTTAATATGTAAAAGGAATTCTGATGCAGTGCCTCATGACAGTGCAGAATAGCGCTCATCTTCTGAGCTCCTCCTCCCTTCTGCTGGATGCCTTTTAGCTGTCGTCAAGCATCTTTATTTTTATTTTTTCATAGAGAGGAGGGCAATTTGATCTGCCATCTATTTTATTAAATGACTGAAAGAATATGTAATTGGACTCTTTCACAAAAGTGAACACGTCAGCTGTGGGCTCACTGTGTAGCACCATCACGTCTCTGCTTCTGTTGTTCCAGTAGGCGCTCCAGGGGAGATGGCCCAGGACCCGACCACAGCGACTGGAAGAGAAACAAGTTTTATTTTTAACTTAATTTTTTTTTTAAATAAACCATCTTATGATTGAATTGATCTATACAAAAAGAGCTTCAATACTGCTAATTTCTTTTCAAAAAAGCTTAACAGAAAATTATTTTCTGCTTTTCCTATTAGCCTAAAAAACCTGATATTTTTTTTATGATTGAGGCACGATTTTACATTTACACTAATATAAAAAAGCAGAAAATTGATTTCATTGAAACTTTTTTGAAAAGTAATTAACAAGAAAAGCCCTCTTAGCATAAAATAGTTGAATTCTATTCTCATTGTGATATTTATAAGGAAAATTAATTTTCTCAACTTAAAAGTGTATTTTACAAGTTTAAATTTATTGAATTATGGGATTTTTTGTGGATTGAGTGATATATCCTGGTGAATAAATCGATTTTTCAAACTACTAAAATTTTACGGAAATCAGGGGATAGACACAGATAGTAAAGTCAGACAATTGTTACTGATGCATTATAAATAATGATATAAATATTAATAATTCTGTATTAATTTAAAAAACCATTTTTTATATGTTACATCGAATTATATTTGCCTTTTCTCATATTTTTTTCTGCATATAAAATTCTTTTTTCAGAAACTTTAAATTACACTAAAAAAAAATATTAAAAATAAGAAAAGTTAAAACAATTTATTTAAGATTCTTTCAAGAAAATAGAATACAGTGAAAATATTACTATATATACTATAAAGCTACAAATTCAAGATCCCAAAATATCATCAATGTCAGATTCTCCTCATTTGAGTCCTACAAAGAATCAGCTTCACCCAAAGAATTTGAAATTGCACACTTTTTAAATGATTTTATAAAAACATTTGAATCCACATGTCTAGTATTGTTTGACAGATGTCGTCAATGCAGGAATTTCCTGCTTTTATAAGATCTCCTGACTAACTGGTCCCCCACAGCATTTGTTATTACATCATTCTTTGATGGCGAATGCATCATATCCGGAGCAAAAAATAATATATTTTTAGCTTAAGAAAATTTTGAAGACTCAATATTTTTATGTTTTTTAATTTTAGAAATTTTTATACTTGGCTTTTTAGAGCAGTTGACATATACACCCTACATAACAGAAATTTGCTAAAAACTAAACTAAACTCAGCGGCGCAACAGCCCTTGAGGGCCAAGGCCTACTGTGCCCATCTCAGTTTTCTCGACCTTGGGCTTTGGGGTGCAGGAGCAGATGTTCCGGTCAGGTGGTCAGCCGAACGTGGAACCCCCAGTGTTCAGTTTCCAAGCATACTTGGTGCTCATTTATCGACTCACTGAAGGGATGAAAAGCTGAGTCAACCTTGCCCGGCCCGAGGATCGAACCAGGGACCTGTGGCACGACAGCGCGAAGCGCTACCAATAATTATATTATTGGTAGCGGTATTAACACAAATAAATGTCATTGTTAGAAAAAATACACAAATAAATAGACTAAAAAAGGCCAAAAAAAGAACAGTATTACTTAATATAGCTGGCAAATTTTGAAACAAAAAATAAGCACCTTTTTAAGCACTCAAAAATATTTTTAAGCACTTGGCAATGTTGAAACAACCAACCAACAAAATGGCAATGTTTAGTTGGTCCCCGTGATTAGCAAACATTCGAGAGATTTTTCAGTTCGATTTCAGGGGGTGGAAAATGAAGTCTGGAATTGAGAATCTCTTGCAAATTGCAGCAGAGTTGTTCATGAGAATGCAAGAATCGTCTATGCATTTTGCGCAATTCGGGTCAAAAATTTATATGATAAAGCACCTTTAAGGGCTTTTAAAAAACAAAAAAATAAGCACCTTTAAGCACTTTTTAAAAAAGCTATGCACCTTGCAAGGTTCTCCTCAAAGGTGGATCCAACTCAGAAAAGTCGGATTAAGCCCACTTAAAAAAAAAACCATCTTTATAACCAAAAGGGTTTTTTTTCACAATTTATTATTTCCAATAAATTTTCCTTACAATTATCAAACCAAATTTTTCTTTGAAATTATCAACTTATTGTTTTATAAACTTTAACTAACTATAACAATGAATAACTTTTTATACAAAATTTTGAAGTAAATAGTTCAGTAATCTGAATTTATTTCAGTAATATGAGAACATATTTCAGTAATCAAAATTATGATAAACAAATTAGCTAAATATTTGAAAAAATTAAAGTACAGTATATTTTTGATATCTTAAAGTTGAAGGAAGGCAAAAAAAATTTCGCGATAGCGCAGCAGATTCGAGTTTTTGAGATAACAAGTTCAGAACTAAGTACGTTCTAAAAAGTAAAAAAATATTACTCTAAAAAGTAGACACATGAAACATAAGAATAATTACTATTAAATATGTATTGATAGTTGACTATAAATCTAAATACAACAATGAACATTTTATTTTTAAAAGTAAAACAAGAGCAATTATGCAATAAATAGAAACAAATTGGGTTGCAATGAGCTTACATTGTGATTTTTCCGAAAAAATTCATTTTCTATCTTAAAAGTAATTCGACATAATAAGGTTTTACAAAGGAACCCTTTGACATAGGAATTCAAATTAACATTAAATGGATTTATAATGCCAAGGGGAAAAATACTTTTTGGACATAACTAGATTTACGAGATATTGAAGTCTGCGATATCAAGCTAGTTATCATGATTAAACAAAAATAAAAAAATATTGCTTAATTACAGTACATTACTTATCTATAAAACGAATTACATGTAATATGCATACACATATTTATTGCATAATTTATTTGTATTGTAAACTTTTCAGGGTTTGTTAAAATACATCAATGGGTATATATTAGAAAAAATCCAATATTTCAAAATAAAATATGATTTTTTAGACAAAAAATGTCAAAAAAAATTTTTTAGTTAAAAAAATATTCTGAATCATCAAATATTTGGATCCAAAATAGCCCCATTTCATATTAAGATCTCTATTATGGACCATTAAGTCCATAATTTAGAATATTCTAATAACTCAATTATTCACTGCTTACCTTACTACAGTTGGAATAGAAAGAATCTTTTCTGATTAGTTCAGTTCAATTTGCGAAACCGCTTAGGGACTCAATAGTTTCTGTTACGTTTAAATATTTCAATAAGAAATAAAGAGACTCTTCTGATATTTTCAAGAAATTGTCATAACACTTTAAGATTAAATTTATGTTTTACATTTTAACAAGTACCAAAAGTGTAGTTCATTTAATATTTATGAATCTTACTTTTGCTTGCTAACTAATGTGATAAAAATCTTGTTAATTACAGAAGAAAATATAAATTACAAAATGAACTATTTCTTAATGAAATGCATATTGTATATATTGGTTGTACATGCTATGTTCATTCAAACATAACTAATTAAACTTTATGAACACTTTTGGAAGTTCAATAAAATCTTAAATTATATACTTGGAATGCTCAGAAAACAAATATTTAAAAATCTTTTTTCATTCATTTCAATATATAATACAGATAAAAGTCGATCATTATTTGTACAATGTAAATCATAAAAAATTCCAACATTGAAAAATACAAATGAACATACCATGAGTATAAAAAGGATAAGTGCATTTCATTTCATGAACGTTTACTATGATTCTAGAAATCCTTAAATTTAAAGCAAATTATATGTTTAAATATTATTTTAAACTAATCACATAACTTATTATGCTTTACATTTTTCAAAGAATCATTTCAGTAACTTCAACATTATGCAATTTATTATACATTTAGAAGGCAAAAAAACTTGTGAGCTGATGGTAAAGTAATATCTTTTTCTTATTTTGTTTTCTGACTTTTTAATTTTGTTAAAAAATATTTTATTTTAATGATTTTTTTTCTTCACTTTTAAAAAACGTTTAAATTTTTTTTATGTTTTCTCTCTCCATATAAAATGTAATAATTAAGGATAAATAAGATTTCTAAATAATACTACAGAATGAATTATAATTTGCAGGAGTATTGAAGATGGACAAGACTGATGAATGGAAGAAGTGAATTTTTTTTTTCTTTACGAATTATCCTCTTTATTCTACAAACTCAAAATTATTAGTGATCTTGGTACTAAGCTTAATTTTTTTTCTTCATAAACCTTTTGTAAAAACAGTAGACTCGGAGAATCCTGACAAATAAGTAAACCTATTAATCAGGCCTTTTTCAAAGGAGAGACTATTCTAATGTGAGATATAATAAAACATCAAAAATCATAAAGTATAAAATATCATTATCTGAAAATAAGTAATATATAAAAATATTTCAATTCTAATTTAAAAGCTTTTTCTGAAAAAAGATCAACCATGCATAATATTAATGTAGCATCATGATTTGGATTTAAAACTATGCAGCTGTAGTATTTTTATACCTAAAAGATAAGATAATAAAAGAAAATATTCACTATATAAACTCTTTTAAAATATACATTTATTTACATTATCAATATTAATAGAGACTTATTTTTCTCATTTGCCAAAAATAGATTTTTTCCATCTTCTTATGCTACTCAGTTTTTTTATTATTTTTAATTCACAAATTGCAAATTAATATATGACTATAGAATTACTTAAATTAATAAGAAATGCTAAGTTAATCAAATTATTTTGGCATAAGATGACAGCCTAAGAGTTAATGTGTAACTTTTATAAATTAATACTTCCCTACAGCTTATATAAATTTAGCTTCCTCGGATATGTTTGGGGGATGGACATATATATTGAATTTGGTCAAAATTGCATCTGCAGTTTAGGTTTTATACGCTATTAAAGAGAATTAGTTACCCTAATGGCAACTATTTGTGCTTTAGGCGGTTTTACGACTCTGCGACAGGCGATAAAAATTGACAATGATGGACGGTGAGAAGGACGTATGAAATGGGAGATAATTATTGAACATAACATTAAATAATAATTTCTTTTCAAAAATTTTCATTCAACACAATTTTTTGATATCAAAAACTCACAATTAAAGTGTGCAACACAACTTGCATGACATTTTGCAAAAGGGGAACAGAAAATTAAAAAAAACTTGTGCAGTTTTTTGGGTTTTTTTTTTGTTTTAAATTAAAATGAGTTTAGAAAAGAGGAATATTCTCAATAAAAAGAAAACATGATTTCTAAACATAGGGTGACTTTGGGTAATTCCTCCTCAAAAAACGCTAACATCTATTTTGTGAAAAAACTATTCAAAATAGAATTTTAATATTTACTGGAAGTTTGAGGCTATATGAGATGAGTCCAATGCCAACTTCTTTTGTTTGAAAATCTAATTAGAATTTAAAAGATTTAAAATTTTTAGTGATCAAGAATTACCCCTGGTCTTGATCATTTTTAGAGTAATTCCTGATCACTTCTGGGGTAATTAATGATCACCAGTTTTTATTGTAAAGGGGCTGTTTGAAAATAATTATATAATGGTAATTAACAAATAAGACATCAAGATAAAAAAATAAACCAAAAAGATATGTTTAAGCAGCTAAAAAAACTATTTATTTAAAAGCAAGAACAACGATTAACGCTTTAAATTTTCAAAAATCTTTGCATCGTGCCACACATTTTAGGCAATCAGCCAACTCATTCTCATGTTCTTCTGAAATATAAGAGAGTTCCCACATGGGTTACTTTTGCTGGATTTTTTAACTTCATTAAGGGAAAGTGTAAAGTTAAGTAAGGTATGTCAACAGCTCTGGCAGCAGCTCTCACACTGAAATTTTCATTTTCAATCATTAAAAGAAATTCACTAATTTTGTTTTCTAGAAGCTTAGTATCCTTTTTAGGCTTATAATTTCTCACCATATTTATACTAGGCTAATTTATAAACTTAAAAATTATTCTAACAATGTACACACATAAAATTAAGATAGAAGCAAGGTAAGACAAACCAGAAATGGTGCAAATCAGAATACAGTCTTGTATACAGTTAAAAACAAATTTTGTGATGACAGTTAAAATATATTTTATAGTTGTTCCACTTAATAAATATGAACTGTTATTTAAGAAAAGACAATTAGCTATTTATTAGCTATTTTATATACTATTTATAAGAAGAAATGACAATGATCAGGAATTACCCCAGTGATCAATAATTACCCCATCTGTAGGGGGCAACATTTGATATAGTTTCCTATAATCAATTATAATGTTTACAGTAGATGTGAAACAATTAAACAAAAGCTTACACTATTTTTATATCAAAGAAAAAGAAAGTAACTCAAAATATTTATTATTAAGAGAAGGAGGGGGATCTTTGCAGAAATGTGCACATTTTGAAACCCATCTTTGAAATGGAAAATACAGAAAGCATTTTAAAAGATACTTATTTTGTTAGATTAAACAAAAAACTATTATTAAGTAAATGTAGTTATACTTTAGTAAAGTGTACAAGCATTCTTGTCCATGTCTCAAATTTAAAAAAAAATTATTTTTTAAAAATAAAACTTAGGTGATCATTATTTATCCCAGAAACAGAGTGATTGTGAATTACCCCGGGTCGCCCTACCAGGTATAAAAAATAATAATAATTAAAAAAAGAGTTTTATGCAACATTAAAAAGAAAAATGCAAACCTGAATTCTGGACTGCATGAACAGTGGCTCAATGTTGCCATGCTGACCTGTTAAAAGAGAAAAAAAATTAGTTTATTGAATAGTTATAATAATAAAAGTAATTTTGTTTTTAACTATCCATGAATAATTTAAATAAGCGCATGCATAAAATACTCACAAAAGCCCATTTTATTAATTTTTTTAACATACCTTGTACAATAAGGCATAATTTATTATAATTTTAATAAATATGAAGTTATTAGGAATATTTTATAATTTCACGCTTGTTAAGTTACTTAAAATTTTTTTCTCATTTTAGAAATGAATCTTATAATGTTGGCTATATTCTGAGAAGTGCCTTATTATTAATATCAACAGTTTTTAAATTGTTTAAAAATTTTAATTTCTGAAAAAGCGGTCACAAGTTTCACTGATAAAACTACTACCAGTGGCGAGTAGCAACATTTCCTAATTTTGCTCCGTAGATAAATTATTAAGAGCTAAATTTTAATAAAAGGAACAGAATTAAAAAAAACAAGTAATTTTATTGTTTATGTTTTGTTTTTAATCAATAATCTGCAGCAAAAACACAAATATTGCACTCCGTTTGCAACACCAAAAATTTCATAAATTAAATTTTTTAATTAATTCAATTTGTAGGCAGATCAGCAATGTAGTCTTTTTATTCAACTTTTTACTCTTACATATTTACATAAACCATAAATAACTTTTTTCAATAACTGACCTTCTTTAGAGGGTTGTCGAGAGACTGCTGCCATGTTTGGTGGCCAAGGGGAGTTGAAAAGAGAGTAGGTGTTGGAACCTAAGTCATGGGAGAGAGCAGAAGATCCATTGGCATTCTGAATCTGCTGCGCTGATAATGTACTCTGCAAATTCTGAGATACGGGACGACCAACAACCTATATTTTTAATATTTTATAATCAAAACACCATCTTATCAACAATTATCATTTTGTATCAATAATTATTTAACTATAACACATAACTTACAAACGTAAAAACTTTTAACCCTTTTCAGAGCACTATGATTTTCAAACCAAGGCCCATGCAATATAAAATAATAAGTAAATATTAAAAAAAAATATGCACAATCTTTATAAAGCTTTTGTTTTAGCATTATTTTTAAGTTACATCAACATTACTAATTTACTCTGGAATATTTTGTTTATAGAATTAGAACTAGTTGGCAATTCTTAAATATAAAAAATTATTGACTATATTAGGGGTGCACAACCTTTTTGAGTGGAAGGCCACATGCACAGCAGATTGACTAATGAAGAGCCGTATGCCAAAGTATTTAGACAGGCATATTGACAGCAATTGTTGATAGTAATTGTTATATAAGCATCATTGTTCTAAGCACTAAATTCGTTTTGTCAGTTAACATTGTAATATCTTTGCATAAAATTAAATACTTTTAAATGTTTAAAATTAGAAACTTCAAAACTGATTACTAAAAAAAAAATAAAAATAAATAAATAAATAAAAAAAACAGAAAAACAGAATCAATTTATCATAAAAAAATTTAAATAATTAAAAATTAGGGGAAAATTCATCTTTTTAATCATATTGCATAATACAAAAGTCTATTTAAACATAAATTTTCGTAGAATTAAATTTTAAAGAAATAATTCTAGTTATTAAAATAAATGTAAGCTAAATACTTTGATTCAAAGAAAGTTTATAGGGTTTAAAAATGATTAAAATTAAGACAAAACCCCTTGAGTGGAAAATACGATTTAGCATTTAATTGTGAATATATTTGAACTTTAAAACATTTATTTCAAATTAATTATAAGAGGCTGGGGCTGAGAGAGGGAAGAAAAGGAGAGAAAGAAAACATGAATTTTGAAGGAACTATTTTCCTTAATAATAAAAAAATAATAGTATTTTTGTTTACAACTTTTATGACAAATGTTTTTTTAACTTTAATTTTTTTGACAGTTGTAATTTACAATTAATACACATATATATTAACAATTAATAAAATTTACATTACTTTTTTTGAAACTTATCTTGATTACAATTTTTTAAAGTCAAAATTTAATGATATAAAATGGTCTAAGTAGGTGGAAAAAGGTTTAAAAATTTTTTTTAATGGTTATCCTGTAATTTGCAAAATTTTTTAATATTTTTTAATTTTATCTACTCGATCATGTGATAGCTTTTTTGAGCCATAAAAAGAAAATTTAATGATTTTGTTTAAAGACTGCTCAGTAATTTTGAATATGCCAAATTCATTCTGGAAAACAGTCTTTCAACTGAAGCTGTTGTTGTGGGTAGTATTAAACTTAGGACAGTTTTGGAATGTGTCCTAGATGATGTTATTCCTTTCCTGATTTTTAAATCTCGCGAATATAAATAGCGATGTGTTATTTTAAAATTGCGTAAATAAAAAAAGCGATCCATGGTTCTCAAATCGCGTGAATACGAATCAAGAGATGTGTGGTTTTTAAATTGCAAAAAGACGACTCACAATGTAGGATTTTTAAAATACGTGAATATGAATCGCAATATGTGGATTTTAAATCCCATGAATATGAGTCGCGGTATATAATTTTTGAATTGCTAGAAGAGTAACACGTATGTTATTTTAAAACGTCAGAACACGAACTGCGATGGATGATTTTTAAATCTCGTTAATGTTATTGTTAGACAAATAATAGAAGTTAAAAGGTATGAGGTTCGATTTTCCGTCGTCGATCTCATGCATTCAACTTGCGTCGGTGACGTCATGGTCTGCGGGGATCGGCCAGTTTATTTTCATTTGCTGTTGGTCGTTCTTGCGTGGATCATGACGTCACCTGTTATCTGTATTTAAGCTTCTGTTGAAGCAGATCATTTTGTATTCTTTCTTTTCGTCACTCTGTTTGTGACATTTTTTATTACTAATGTTTTTAAATAAACTCATTTCTTCAGAAACTTCGTTTCTTTTTTTCTTTTGAGTTATTGATATACAGGTATGATATTCTGAGAGAATCACGGCTGTCAGTTATTACGAAATGCGATGCGCAATTCTAAGATCGCCTAAATACGAATTACGATGTTCGACTTTTAAATTATGAGAAAAATCAAAATGTACGATTTTTAAAAGCGTAACGCGATATGTGATTTTCAAACCATGTGACCACAAAAAGAATAGATTGAGCATGTGTTACTTACACGTGTTCAGGGGACTAAAGAAATATGCACATGCTTTGAATTATTTTTTTGCAAAAAGGGACCGTGTTTAATATAAATGTAAAAATCTCGTTTTACAAAAAAGAAAATTAAAACAGAATTGAATTTTACGAGTTGTAATATTGTGTTAAAATATCATGATATTCTAAATCACAAGTAAAAATGCCGCAATAACGGGAAAGAGAGGAAAAAAAACTTTATAAAAACCTCTTATATTTAAGTTAAAATCGGTACAAATAGAGCACGTAAAAAGTAATTATTTTAATGCGCTATTCAAAACTCGCGTGCTGTCAAATTATAGCAGTAAAAATATCAGATTTTTTTTTTAACCTCAGGGAAATGCTTAGTAATAACTACCCAAAAAATTATCGAAATTCCGTTATATTTATGATAAAATTGGCGTAGATAAAGCACGTCCAAAATTTATGAAAAAAATGCGGGAATCGAAATTAAAGTCGCAATAGCATATAAAAAATATCGGGACTTTTAAAATCTTGTAGAAATGTGCAGCAATAATTGGCAAAATAACAATTGAAAAATAATTTGATTTGCGATAAAATCAATACAAATAAACCAGGTGAAAAAATGTTTATCGAAATGAGCGATTCTTTACTCGTGATTTTTAATAATATCGTGCTAAAATAACGAAAATGTAAAAACCACCTGGAAATGTGTAGCAATAACTACCGAAAAATAATTGTATTTACGATGAAATAGGCACACACAAAGAGCGTCAAAAGTGATAACTAAAATTCATATATCGTAATAATGACATATTAAAAATATTGGGATTTTCTAAACTATGAGCAAATCTGTAGCGTTAACCATTGAAAACATTGATTGAGATTGGGTGTGTCAAAAACATACATTTCAAATTTCTGAATTTTTTTTTTACTTTTCAAAAAAAAAAATTTACTTTTTCCCCCATTTGTTCAGATTGCAACTGAGGGCCGCACATCTAAGGCTGACGGGTCGCATGTAGCCTGCAGATTGTGCACCCCTAGACTATATCATTTAATGTTATTTATTAAATGAAACAAAAAACAGCTAGTGTAAAATGAAAAGTTCAATACCAATCCTCCAATTTATTGTAAAAACATATATAAGCAGCCTTCGGCAACATGCTCGGTCGTCTCCATCTCCTCATTACTTGGCACAAAATTTGGCCATATATATGAATTTCAATAATTAATAAATAAATAAAACACTTCAAGCAAAGCTATATTAATTTGTTAACTTTAACTAATAATATTGAGCGAGCCCCCGAGAATTGTTTAAAGTTTAAGTGTATTAAACAACAATTAAATTCCTTTAATGAAGCATAATGTGACAGAGCCTGAAATAACACACAATTTAAAAATGAATGAATTCTTATAAAATGTTGGATACTACTAAAAACTGATTTAAAAAAAATAATCCAATTATTTTATTTTGCTTATAAATATGAATCACAAATTCTTTTAATTGATAAATTAAATTACAAAAGTTTAAAATAGACAGAAAAAATAAATAAAAATTGCTGATGTTTGTTATACAAATATATTTGGTACACAAAGGGTATCTACTAAATCTGGAGTTTTAAATGCATGATTTCTAACAATAACTTTTGATGACTTGCGTAAGTTAATACATTATTTCTCTACAATTTCGAAAGAAATTCTAAACAAGTTTAACTTTCTTTTCTTAAAAACAATATTGTTTCATTTAAGCAATGCTTTGCACCTTTTTCAACTAAGCCAATTTAAACAAAAGTAATAAAAAGAACTGAACTTTTAAACAAACTAAAAAAACAAATAACCCAGCAACTAATGGTGACAAAACAAATCAGAACATAGATTTGAAACTATTTGATAAATTAAAAACATTTACAAAGCTAAAATCTTTTATCTAATGAAATTCAAATACGCTACTTTCAAAAGGACAATTCCAGGAATTATGTTATTTTAATTTCAATGAGACAAAAGTTTCAACAAAAAGGAATTCATGTACTATCATATTACTTTTAATATATCAAAAAAGTCTAAATTTAAAAAGCAACATTCAAAACATTAAACAAAAATATGAATTTAATTTTTCAAACTGAAATAATTTTTAAAATTAGGTTTTACTGAGTTTTTTTATATTCATTAAGTTCAAACCATTTTAGTTGAATAAATTTTTTGCTACAATATAACAAATATAATTTTTATATAACTACATATAAAAAATTAAAATATATTAAATACATGATTACTAAGTCAAATTGTATTATAACTTAATAATCACACTTTTACTCCTACAACTTAATACTCCCACTTATAGAAACTTAAAACTATCTACCTTTTAATTTGTGAGCTTTTTTGTAAACATTATATACAAGTCATAAAAAGTTACTGAATATTTGATATAAATATGAAATTTAAAAAACAAACAAACAAATAAAATCTTAAAAAAATTAAAGATCTGCAGAGAAAAAGATTAGCTTAGATCAAATTGAGAATAAATATGAAAATAAAGATTAATAAAAATGTTTTAAGCATTATTATATTTATAAAAAATGTAATAAGCATAAAATAAATATTAAATGAAAAAAAAAGAAGAAAATATTTACTTAAAACTTTTTAAACCAGAACCACCTTTGTCAAAAATTAGTTTTGGCAAAAATTTTGCTGTTCTAAATATTTCATGCTCAAATACTTAATAAAATTAATTAATTATGTAATAAATCACATCGTGAAGTACAATTTTTTAATTCAAGCAAATAATAAGGTGTGATGTCTAAGTTATGAGAATATAAATAATGTTTAAATGCCGTAAATAAAAATATTGATGCAAGATTTTTAAATTGCACGAATTCAGATCCCGTTGTGTGATTTTCAAAATGCATGAAAGCGGATCGCAATGTGTGATTTTTTAAGTCACACAAATATGGATTGCACTGTGATTTTTAAATGATATGAATACAAATTATGATGTGTGATTTTTCTAAATCACAAGAATATGGATCATACCGTGTGATTTTTAAATTACGGATAACGATGTGTGATTTTTAAATCCTGCGAATACAAATCGAAATGTGTGATTTTTAAATCGCACGAATGCTGATCATGATGTGTGCTTTTTAAATCATGTGAATACAAATGACAATGTAGAATTTTTTAAATTATGCGACAGGGTTAAGGGCTCCAATACCCAAAATCTATGATGAACTGGAAGTTTTCATGATACTTTAGCATTTACCTCTGACAAATTACAATCAAGGTCCTTAACTTTTCACGATTTTCAATGACTTTTTATCTGTGTGGATATAATTTATATATATACATACGTAGATATTTTGTCATCAACTTTTAACTTTCTAATTTGATATGTGTTTTAAAGGACTTTTTGATAATGGTCTAGATTTGCGATTTAAAACTTTGGAAAAAATAATCTCAATTTTTAAATTAAAGAAGACTCAAAATTTATACGAATGTTGGGGAGTTTGTCTTAAAAAGCCTTTTTTTCCCATGTTCAACAAAAATGTTTATTGTATTTTTTATTATTAAATCAGTAAGGTTATATCAGCATTGGAAACCAAATTTTTTAAGAGAAAATTAGCAAAATATGATATAGAAGTAGCATTTTTAAAATCCTGATTAATAGTTTGATTTTGTTTTAAAGTACCAAATAAAATGCTTTAGGGTAAGATTACAAGTGAATATCTTCAGTGAGCTTTTTATTTTAGACATAACTCAAAATGTGTTTAAGAAAAATGGACATAGCTTAAAATGCTTTTTTAAGAAAACGACTATTGCTTAAAATGCTTATTTACGAAAACGAACGGAGCTCAAAAGGTTATATTTAAGAAAATGAATGGAGCTCAAAATGCATATTTAAGAAAACGGATACAGCTCAAAAGGCAAAACTGACACAGCTCAAAAGGATATGTTTAAGAAAACGAACACAATTCAAATCGCACATTTAAAAAAGCAGAGAAGGCATATTTATTATTATTATTTATATTATTATTAGGCCTCATAAAGAATAAAATAATTAATGTACATTAACAACCGTATTTATAAATTTTTTACACCCACAGCAACAATGTAAAAAGCATTGTATACCATTGAATCTGTTTAAAAACACCAAATTAATAAAATTTACAATTCAATTTATGTAAATAGACAGTATTATGCATTTTTAATTAAAAATCATTCGTTAAATTTATATAATAATAATATATATAATATTTATATAATACTTTTATTCTCATATTTAATTAAAAATTTATCTTTAATTAAATAAACATTACTCATCAGAGTAGTTTGAAAAATGGAATAAAATGCTAGGTCCGCTTTTTAAAATAGCTATGCCCATTTTCTAAATTATGTCCCCAGAATTGGGCATGCTTATCCAGCTTTAGATTAATGAGTATCAGCTTGTCTCTTACGCAATGCTGACCACATGATTGCTACTGTTGGTCCTGAAATCGTGGGTGTCAAAACCTTATTTTTGAGAGAGTGTTTCTACTTATAGTGAGAGGGTCAGGAATTTTAATTTAAAAATGTATGTACATATATACAAACCTGATTGACACCCATGTGGCTGGTCGACATATCGTTCCTCCCGTTCTCCATGCTCTGTTGCCACATACGGCCCGCAAGGTGTTCTTGTACCTGATCACGTATCATGTCAGGTGGCTGTTGCTGCAAGAGAGATCCCCCTGAAGCATTCCTATAGGCATGCAACAAATTAGAAGCTGCTTCCAGCTGATTCAGGTCCTGTTGTGCTCCATTTACGAGGTAGAAACTGGGCTGCTGACGAGGGGGAGGTTGTGAAGGTGGATTGGTGCCCTGTTGAACGATGATCTGAGCACTAGCTTGAGCAGGATTAGCAGCTTGTTGGTAGGGTGTAACGAATCCCATGTAATTCCACAAGACATTGGGTGGGTTGGTGATAAATGTGTTGGCCTGGGCGGGAACAGCTTTTGTCAGCATTTGGTTCGGCTGTGACTGCTGGGCTGGGGGCTGCTGTTGGAAATTAAAATTGGGTCCTGGAGCTCTGATAATTCTCGGCATGGCATTTTGAACGTAGTTTGGAACGGATGCGCTGTTATCGTGAGTCATTCTATTGACAGAATTGATCCCAGTTCTGAAAATATATTGTCATTAAAATGATTAATAGTTCAAATTCATAAGGATCTGCGGACACAAAGACAAAATCATCAACAAAAAAAAATTTCTCGATTGAGGTAAAATGCCATACAAAGAATTCTTTTAAGGAGTAATTAAATTTTTAAAAGGTCATTTAAATTAAATGTAAGAATGAAACATTCATTTAATATGTATAAATGGTAAGATAAAGAAATAGTAAATAACGAAAATGTAAAACAATTATTTTTTTGGTCAAGATGCTAAAAAATGTATCCCATTATCTGACATGTACATTAAGTGTATTTTTCAACATTTACTATGAGGAAATGACAGGAATCACAAATATGTCTGCCTTATTAAATAATATGTAAGAGGTTTACAACTGACCAAATAGAAAAATAAACAGGGAACTTAAGTTCCACAACAAACAACATATCACAGATACAATAATTTTGCCACTCAATAAGTCAAAATTTGATTTTAAAACATAGTTAGGAATATTTACAGATAATTAAAGGAATATAAATTAGGAATATAATGAAAATTCGGCCCTTTTGCCGAATATTTGTCAAAGTATTATTTGGGAAGTTTTTTAAGGAGAAATTTAATAAAGAATAATCTAAAATCCTTTTTTTTACTATAGATGGTGTTTTCAATATAAATGTAAACAACAATAATCTCTTGAACAGTTCTACTTCTTGTTGCAAAGTATGCAACTGCTCTCAACAGTTTATTCGGCGAGGCGATATTTTTAAGCAGATAATTTTGTTTTCAATAAGAGTAAAAAATTGATATTAAATAATTCTAGTAAGTTTGAAGTGAAAATTTGTTTTTCTTCTTTATAGATGTATTGTTAAATTAGGTGACATGGTTGCTAGATTTAGAAATAGCTCGGAGCTGGCAGTCCCCATTTGGTCTCTTTTTTATTTGTTTATTACTCTTTGTTCTCGCTGCGAGCCATGCACAATCATGCACTAGTGTTAGCATATTGTTCTAGCAGCAAGATTAAGTTCATTTTACATATTATTTAAGTTTAAATTTCGAAGTTGGTACATTGTTGATAAGGTAAAAAGTGTATTATAGAGATTCGTTTCTAAAAATGACGATTCTTAAATGATTCTTTTTTTAAACACAAATAATAAACTAGGTAATAAAAAAGTATACAAGAAATACTACTTAAGATGGTCTCAAAACACAATGATCACGCTGTAAGCACACAGGAAAAAGTAACCCAGAAGTATAGGCAGTGCACAATAGTGTAGAAAACACTATCCATGCGCTATTAGAAATAGTTTTTACACATAATTGTTAAGTTCTTGTTAATTCTGATAGACACATGGAAATGCAAAATTTGAAGATTGCTTTATACTGAACCATGATTTTTTCTTCTTTTTTTAATTGTATTCAGGCAAGTCAATTCCATCATTTTTTCAATACTTTATATTTTAAAAATTAAAAACTTCTTTTTGTTTTGCTTCGTTTTTGTTAGTTATTAAATGTTAACGGAGCATTTCTAATAGATTTTATTCCTCCATTTTCACTTTTTTCTTGTACAGTAAAACAGAAAGCAGGTAATATAGAATACTGTGACTCTCAGCATTAAAGTTATATTTCAGAACTAAGAAATATTTTTTTTCTGTTTCTCTTTTGACTTTTCTTTTTATCAGAATTTCTTAAAGAGCGTTTCTAATGAACATTATTCTTTTATGGTCACTTTTTCTAAAAATGCGGTGTAAAGGTTTGATATCGATTTTAAGCGTTAAATCTATTGCTTAAAAATTAAGAACGATTTAAGCAGTATAAATACTTTATATATATATATATATATATATCGTTCTGGATTTCCTGGATTAATTCCTGCAGTATCTAAGTTTATGATATAAAAAAATATTGAGTAATTTAAATTATGTATGAAATGCAAGTTATCTGACTGCAACATTTACAAATGTTTTGATGGAAATTTATTTAAAAAAAGAGTTCTGCATAAATGACAGCCTGACATTTATCTTAAACATAAAATTTAGAATACTAGATCCTCATCAAAATTATGGCTAGACTCCATGCTTATGGTCTGAAAAAGAATTCCCTAAAAATATGTGTGCCACTCAACATGTTAAGTAACCTTTTCAGTATATATCTCAACTTTAATTAAATAAAATAAAATAAAATATACAATAAGATATTAGTTTTTTACAAAATTACATAAAATACTCCCCCTCATCACACATTTACTTGAATGAATGAAATAGTACATCATTTAATAAAGAAATGAGATCCATATTTCTAGATGTGACTATGGTAAGAAATTAAGTAGTTATATAACATACTGATGGATGTTGAATTGTTGTAGCCATGCATCATTTCTTTCACAGGGTTGAACACCTCCCTTCATAAAAAGCAAATATTAAAATTAATATATCACAGAGAAAAAAAAATATCATAGGGAAAACATAGAATTAAATAATAAAAAAAACAATTACCACAGGATGAGTTTGGGCTTGAAATTGATTAAATTGTTCGGGAGGCACCATATGGTGAAGAGAAGGTCGATTCATATTCACCTAAACAGAAAAGTATGTTAAATAATGAAGGATTATTAATTGAAAATTCTAATAATAATTCAAAGCTGAAAATACTACCAAAAAATAATAACAAAAAAAATCTGCAATGGTAAAAAATTTGAATTACATAAGCCATAAAAAAATATTTTATCTTTCTCTTATGTTTCACATCTAATGAATGTCTAAAAAGCATTTTTTATCAATAGTTTAATTATCATTGAGAAATGTTTGGATACACATAAGAGAAAAAGAGCTTGCAATCAAAATTAAGAACATGAAATTGGAAATTACAGTTTTATCGAGTTTGGGTGATTCCCAATTGTGTCATGAGAAAATGCTAACGTAATTTTTTTTGGGGGGGGAGAGGGGGGGGAGTGAAAACCAACAGTTTATCATCCAACCTAACTTTTTTGTGGCGTAAAAATGAACATAGGAGTACTCTTGTATCACTTTTTATAAGCTATATTTTTCAATTATTTAAAAGAAAACTTTATTTTGTTATAAATTTTCCATTTGTTATAATTTTAAGTTTGTTTTTCCTTTAACTTTTATTATACATATTCAAAGGTTCCCATTGTTGGTGCAAGCTGGGAGAAGAATTTGATCCTACCTCATCTCTCCTGAGTAGGACTGGGCTATAAATCGATATATCGCAACATATCGATTCAACGCCTGTATCGGCAGGCCGATACAGCGACTTTCGCTCCAGGCGATGCATGAGAAATCTGATTTAAACCATTGAGTAAAGAAGACGAACGATATAGCGATATACAATATAGCAATACAAGACACGCAAGGATCTCTTACGTTCCGATGCCAACTCGCGCTGGGGAAGACGATGTACGTATCGTTAGATTGAAACGGCCTTGATTGATGAGCGGTAGAATCAGAATCAGTTTTGAGAACATATATCGTGATCTCGCATGTTCGTTTTCGCACCTTTTCTTTCTTTGTCGCGACTTGATATCGTTTCTTGTAGATTATTTTCAGTGGGACTGACTTCGTGATCGCTGTCTTTACACTGTTCTGAACGTAATCTATTATTGAAAAGAATATATAAAAAAGTGTTTCTTAATTAATTAGGTAAATTTTTTTTGAAACAAAACTTTCTTTTTTATTTTTAAATGTGAAAATTTATTTTGATATATGTTTAAGTACTATTTTACATTATTGAATTTATTACAAATGGAAATCTAATTTAAGGTGCCCCTAAAGAATTAAATTAAAAAGTAATTAAATTTGTTAAGCTATTTTTTACTTTATTGTAATTTGTTGAAAACTTTTTGGATAAAATAATAATTTAATGGGTTTTTATTACTGATTTTAAATTTATAAATATTTAGTTGTCTTCATTTTTATAAATAAAATTATAACAAAACTTATTTTTCCTCTTTTGGATTTGGACATAAGTCAGTCAACTTTGTTTATTCAAAAAAATTAGTAATGTTTGCGATTGCGACTTCTTTTTTTAAAATCATTTAGCACTTCGTTTTATTAAAGAGTATAATCATGTTTTTTAATTTTCTTTCAATATTGTCAGCTGAATATATTATCGAATATCATAATTCTTTCTTTTTTTTTTAAAGAAATTAAACCTTACTTTGTTTTTTCGTTCAGAATTCAGTAATTATTCAATTTAACTTTATTATTTATGTGAAATAATAATGATAAAAAATAGTGCTGTTTTAAAAGTGTTTTTTTTCTTTTTGTTTAATTTATTTCGCACTTTGTTTTAAGCATACAAATAATTTTTAACGAACTTATTTTTTAAATTTTCTTTCTATATTGTTAGGTAAATATATTGAAAAATTTCAATTTTATTTATTTTTAGAAAATATAACATAATTTAGAAAATATAATATTAATATCCTTCTTAAGCAAAACATATACATCAAATTCATAAATTGATTTAAATCAATCTGAGTATGAAGTTTTCATAGAAATCCGACTTTCTGCGCCTTACAAATAAATGATTTTCAAAAATACTATATCGCGATACATCGGGATGCAAAACTGACGATGCATCACGATATAAAATTTCTTATATCGCCCAGTCCTACTCCTGAGCCACCACGGCTACAGATACAGAAGAGAAGTCTGTTTTATTCCTATAGCAAAATACATCGAGATGAAATTTTTGTTTACCCATTTTAAAACAAATTAATAAAAAAAATCAGTTTGTTCAAATATGATAACGTGCTTATTTTTTTAATTTCATTCCAAGAATATAAATAATATAAAACAATTTTTTTTTCTTCTTCTACATTACAGAGAGTGAATTTATTGATCCTGCAATTTACCTGATGTGAATGGAACTGGTCACATAATCAAGTGCCATTCCTTTACCTGCAAACCAGACCAAAAGAACAAACCTAGTCTGGTTTAGTCGGCGAAGAAGAATAGGCAGTACTCAAAACCATAGAAATGTTTTTAATTCATTTGCTAAAAGAGGTGGCATTGCTGAATGGGTTAGTATTCAATAATTATAGATCTTGCTAGAAATACACACATTCAGAAAAGGAAAAATACTAATAAGTGAAATGGCAGAGAAAAGGCGACAAACCTCTTTCACAGATTGGGGAATGGCACTGTTGTCGATGTTACGAATGACATGCGCAGCATCCAAATGATTTTGTGGTCGAGCATTTTGTCGATTCATTGTTTCTTGATGAAGCAACTGTAAGGAAAACACCATCTTATTTTATACAATACTAAAATGAACAGAATGTACTACATAATTTCTAAGTTTATTAACCAATAAAATATTTTTCAACGATTTGATAAAGACATTGCCTCAATATTATTTTAAAATAAAAACATTAAAAAGAAATCAACTACTACAGTTCGATAAATAGAAGAAAATAAAAGTTATATTTTTGTTAATAAAGCTCTAAATAATTTGCTCAAATAAACAGAAGTACAAAAGAGAAAACTTTAAGGAAGAATACATAGCATTTACAATTAATATTATTTATGAAGAATATCATTCGTAATGTATTACTAAAGCATTCTTAAAGTTATTACTATTACTTTTTACTAAGTTATTCGTAAATTATTTTGAAATCTACCACATTAATATATAGCTTTCCAGTATAACTTGTGATATGATTTTGAATGCGTAATCCACATCAACAATAAAAATATGTAGCAAAACTGTTTATTTTATATACATTTAGCAAAAATTTGCAAGATTCATTTACGATATTTATTAGAGAGAAATAATAGCACTCCTGAAATAAATAGAAAATTATTTTGTACATTAAAATTTATTAAGTAACCTTTAAATTATTTTAAACACTTACCACATTTGTTTCTTTCCCAGTATCTTGATTTCGAACATGATTAGAAGATGAAGTTTGAGCAGCACGTTGCTGTAGAATAGCCTAAAGCATAATAGAATATGAAGTGATTATATGCATTCAACATTAAAACCTATTGAAATTGTTCAAATTATTTATAGAATAAATAACTGTTTACTAAAGATATACCTGCATAGCAACATTCTGCCTTCTTCTGTTGCTTTCCTTAGTGTGTCTCTCTTTCTCATTATTTGTTTCTGACTTCCTCTGATGAGGAGTGTCATCCAGTTTGAAGCGCACCTCTTGCTGCATCTCATTGTGGGTAGGTTTTGAACGCAAGGATGTGCTGCTGCTCCCGACTTCTAAAATGGATGCACCTAACATTCAAAGGAACTCATTTTAGAGCATTTATACAGATCTAAACTCTAACAATTAATTTTAAACTTAATTTACAGTCAAAATTTATAATTCTGTCTAGTAAAAGAAATTCTTATAAATTATTACATACATTTTCCACACATAACTGATAACAAGTATTTTTTCTAACCAAAGAACCAATTTCGGAAATGAGACAAATGTAACATCAAAATAAGAAAAAGATCTTTAAATAGTATTTAGGATTTTACAAATAAAAATCGAAGTTTAAATGAAATGGTTACTTGATAATATCTTAAATGAATGGCAGCAACAGATGAAGTTAAATTTTACTGCGTGAAGAATTACGAAGAAAAAACAATTGAGCGTTTTCATCCATACCGAAAGGTAAACTACAAAACCATACTATTATTTTAACAAAAACTAAATTAAAGTAAGTGAGAGCACCCCATAGCATAAATAAAAAAATATATAATTTCTCCTTCCTTCCTTTCTTTTTTTTTTTTTTAAATTTTTGTACTTCATTTTGCATAAATTTTTTTTTAAAATTTCAATCATCAATTTTAAAAGCTGTTTTAATGTATAAAACTATATATTAAATCACTTAAGATTTATTATAGGCTATAGTTTTCACCGTGAAATAGTCTGAAAGAGTTTCAATGAGATAAGCAGGGGTGGGGTTATTGCAACACAAAAGGAAAACTCCAAATATTTTAAGTATAAAAACTTAATATCAATATATTAAGTTATATACAATACATGTTTAATATTATTTTCTGCAAACGAAGAATATCATCACATCTTTAAAGTAAATAATTTTAGAATCCCAATATAGTATTTTAAAATAGAGTGAATATGAACGGCAAAATCAGTTTTTTCAATAACCTGAAAAGGAATGGGGATGCATGATTTTTATTCCACATGAATACAAATCACAATGCGTGACTTTTAAATGACACATAAATACAAAAATCGATGTATGATATCACAAACACATGGATGTGAAGCGCAACATTGAATTTGAAAAACGAGTGAATGAAAATACTGACATTGCATTTAAAACTTACTTGAATACAAATTATGATATTAGATTTTCAAAACATGCGAATCATGATATTGATTTTAAAAAAGTGTAAACAAAAATCAGGATATTTTATTTTTAAATTACATGAATACGAATTATGATGTACAATTTTTAAATCGCAGGAATACAAATTGCAACATGTAATTTTTAAATCAAGTGCATAAGAAAACCAACGTTTGATGTCAAAATTGCATAAACACATATTGCGATATCAGCGCAGTTTCAAGCATTGAAGATGGTGAAGATTTGCCAAACCAAAAGAATGAAATTTGTGGATTTGGATCTATTGGCATAAGAATCACATGTATGTAATCATGCCATTAACAGGATCTAAAAAAATTTAACGTTTAAATTTCAGATTGCGGAAAAGTTTGTCGGATTATAAGCTTTTGATTCACAGATGTTTGTTAACCAAGGGTCTCGAGATAAAGGGAATTCTGCTAGTTTTGCGGAAAACCGGAATTTTGGGGTACGCCAGGAATACAATCCGTCTCCTAACAGAAGTCAAATAGATAATTAGTGTATTTACTTCCATTCATCAATGCTGGAGCATCATTGGTGGAATTTGAAGGACTTGGGTTGATTGTCAGCTCCTGAATTTGTTGCAACACTTCTTCAGAGAGAGATTCAGTTTGATGAACTGCTTTGAAGACTCTTTTTCCTTCCTCACACTGAGAGAGGGACAATAAATTCAACCTAGTACAAGAAAAAATTCAAAATTCAAAACTCACCATTATGATTCATTTTTCTTTTTAAATTGTATCATCATCTTACCCCTCCTTCCCTTCTTTGTCCACTCCGGCCAAACATTCTCCCAATTTGCAGAGCCTCACAGAACGGAGCCAAGTAGACTCTTCCTCGCTGGGCGTTGCAGCATTCAAGCTGAATTTAAGTCTCCTGAAACAATAGATATCAAAAAAGCAAAATATTTTACAGAGGTCTCAATATGAAAACTGCTTTGCTAGAAATGTATTATTACCTTTGTGATTTCTTCAAAGGCAAGAAAGCCTGAAGGTCCCAATCTTCAGGAAGAGGAATATCTTCCACTGTAAATACAGGAATTCAAGATATGAAATAAATATTTAGGAGCTAGCTTTTCAAAATATAATAATAAAATTATTAACAAATCAATTGCTTTTTAAATTCAGATCTGAAAGAACAGAATCTTTAGATTATCAAAGGTTGCGAAAACTATCTTTTTATAAAACCATTAGCGCTGTTTCATAAAATTATATTTTTGTACATAAAATTATATTTTTGTACATATTTTAATAAATTAACAAACATGCATTTTTTGTTAGAATAGTTACATTTTCTAAGTTCTCAAGTTTTGAAATGATGCATAGGTAGTGAAAAGTCCCATATAGGAAATCAGTGAGATTTCACCGAATTCGGATAATAGATTTTCTGTATAATAAGATCCCAAGGTAAACAAAGGTCAGAACATGTCTTATTCAGTAAAAAGCAAACAAGAAACATTATTTTTTAGTCAACAACGTTTTATTAATAGAATGATCAGTAAAGTTTTAAAAGAAAAGTAAGTGATTACAGTATATTTCTGAGCATAAGCCTTTTTGTGCATAAACTGAAAAGTACACTTTTTATTATGAAATTCATCCAAAATTCAAAACTTGTATACAAGCAAATATAAAAGAAAAATAATTCTTGCTAGGCTTGGAAATAAAAATATACCCTCTTTCTTGTACTATTGGTTGCATGGTGGGTAAAAGAAATATGGACCTTCCAAATTCATAATTAGAAGGTTAAAAAACAATAGTATTTCTTTCAAATTACCTTTTTATGTGTTTCTTTTTTGATTTTTATACTTAGGCATCCTGTTTTTACCAATTATTTTATGTATTTTTATGTTCTGTAGGTACTTTTTTTTATATTTACCGGTTATCGCTAATGTCTTTCGAATGACAGTCAAATGTACCAGATACGAGTACTAAATTAGTTTATAAGTCAAAATGGAAAACTACAAAACTATGAATTAAATAACCAAAGTAGTAGATGAGAAAAACATTGAAAAAAATATATAAATAAGCTTCTTTTCATTTTTTCTTATTTTAAAATGCGTTAATTAATTTTCATTGTAATTTGGATTCAATGAAACATGGATTAACAATACTTTTCGGCCGATCCAGAAAACGGTGAAATTCAGACATCCGGGATAGCAATGATCTCCCGGATAATTGGTATTCATAATACAGTATTCATAAATTTAAATGCTTAAATTACAATAAACTGAAATAATTAACTGCTTCTTACACTTCTTGAGATCATAAGTTTCTTTGGTTGTCACATCCAAATCATTCAACAATTTACAAAGTCCATGCCAAACTCTATAAAAAAATCAAATTTATCAAAAAAATAGCCAACAGTAAATAATTTATATTAAAATAAGTTTGGAGAACTGAAATTTTAACATTGAGTTTCGTCTTTAAATTTAAAACCATACATTGTTTTTATAGCCTGCCAGGAAACATTAAGTGGTAATTTGTATAAGAAATCAAGACTTTTTCAGTGGCTACATACATAGTATTTTAAAGGATATCAAGCCTGCAGAGAAAGTATATTATAGAGCAAAAGCTATTATTGATAATAGAAAATTACTAAGCACAATTTCCAGTGCTGTCCAAGAACATAATGTGTGGCAAATTCTTTACAATCATGAAATTTATAATCAATCTAAGCAACTAGACATAATAAAAGTATAATAAAGGGGAATTTCAGTCACTTATTCTCATGAGAGTATTACAACCCCTCTAAGCTATTAACCTTCAACAAACCAAAAGGCATTTAAAAACAGAGAGAACTTTTCAGACTGCTGGATGATATCAAGAAAGATTTAAAAACAGTAAACGTGACTAATTGGAAAGAACATAGCTTATTATGGGCTGTAGTGGCAAAAAGAGAAAGAACAAATAAATAAAAAAGAAATTACAGTTCATAATCTTAAGCTATGTGGGACCATTTTTAGTTTAATTCATCTAAAAATTTAGACTACCTCAAATTCCAATATAAATTTAAAAAAGAGTAGGCAAAATGTAATAATAATTCTAAGTACACAGCTTAAAGCATACATAAATTTTTCTACGTTAAACTGACTATGATTTATTGCAACTTTTGATTGAGTCCTACAATACAACTTAATAAATTGCAACTGTCTTATAATTTTTATCATAATACAATATCTTTAATGCAAAGCATTATGTGTTTTTTTGCATCACTACTACTCTTAGGTTCAAAAATTAATGGCGTTGTATAGCACAAAATATAATTTATCAAAAAAAAAAAAAAAAGGAGAAGTATTTTAGATCAGTTAAATATAATATCCCTGCCCCCATCAATGCACTGAGCTGAGAGGCTTTAAAATTCTGCAGAAGATTAGTCACTGACTACATCCATCATCATACTCAACAAAATATAATTGCAGGATCAAGTTTATAATGTTCATCCAACACTACTGAAAAATTTGTTGTTGCATGTAATGTTGCTGGTCACCTGCTGAGAACAACATTTTTCGTCATGGCCTCTATTTTACAGCTGACTACACTGCTAGGGAATATACTCTAAAGGTGCTTTGTTCCCTCAATGTCTGATCTAATCAGAATGAAAAATACTGAAATGGAGTCAGCATATTTTTAAATATTTTTTGCACATTTACAGAAACTGAAAACACTGCTTAAAAAACTGAATTTAGTAAAAATACTGCTTCCTGAATATCGACACCATGTCTGATTGCCCCTAGGCAGCACATGACTTGAGAGATTTTATTACTTGTATTCAATTACATTCACTGAAGGATATATATCCTCCAATACTAGCAGCTATCAAAATCAAAAACAAGAACGAGCGCCATTATGACATTTTCCTACAAACAAGGGTGCTCCTCAACTATTGAAGTCTTAGGCAGACTGGCAGCTTTGTCCAAGATGTCCTTGTTTCAGATTTAAAGCAAGTTAATAATTATATAAATTCACACTGAAATTCTATGGATCAAAATAAAATCAGTAACTTACAGATTATTTTTCAAAGGAAAACATAACAGGACACTTCAAAATAATAAACCATTGTCACACTAATCAATAAAGATTTACCATCTTTGCACTAGAGTATCAAATGGAGAAAGTTTCAACTTACTGAGGATTTTTAGCAATGGCTTCATGCTGCAGAAGTTGAGGATCTTGCAGAAGCCAGTCAAGTACAATTTTGATGGCTGGAAGTGTGTAGTAACTTGCAGTCTCTTTGGGTTCGAGGGAGGCATGCACAGGAAGTAAAAATGCATGAAGCATGCTCGCTATACGAAAGAGAAGAAAATTGAGCTTTTATTTTTGAAAGGCAGATCGTTGCCTACCCACCACCAATACTTATTGAGTAACAACAAAACACAACCACAAAAGGTCAATAGTACCACTTTGCTAAATTAGAATCTTACTATCTTTCATGTCAGACTTTAGCATATCGACCAACATTGGAGAAATAAAATAACGGAGATTTTACTAGCGATATTTTTTAAGCTACGAGCAATGTTTTGATTTATAAGGCATAATCATGTTAGTCAAAAAGAGAAATTCAAAATTGGAAATAATGTAAGCACTTACATGCAGCAGAGTTAAAAATACGTACATAAATCTTGATCAAAAGAAGATTTTTTTAAACCATTATCCATAACTACTAAATCTATTTTATTTTATAACCGCCATTGAACAGCCGACCTAATTTCAGGCTTACAACTACTAACGGTCAACTCCATAGCCATGTAATTTGCCTTTGTGGAGGACTTTTTGATGGAACTAACCCGCATTTGTGTTACATAGAGAGGAAAACCATGAGAACCTCCCACGGCTAGGAGACTCTAACCCATGATACATCTTTCACTGAGGATATATTATGTCAGCACTGTGGCAGGTGTAAGTCAAGTGCCAAATTCACATCAACCAGTCATTGCTGGGATTTGAACCCAGTTCATCTCAAGAGCCACCACGGCTCTGCTTAAACTATTAACACTCAACATATTGCACTACTGGCAATAACATCATCTGTTGAGGAATATTTCTGCCCTCAGTGGATATTTTATTGGCATTTTTTAAAAAAAAATTTCTTCAATAAATATGGAGAAATTTGAGAATATACGGCTAAACAGGAGATAGGTGTAGAATACAGGAGTCTCTGTTAAAAAACTGGAGACTTGGCAGGTATGCTTAAGTATCAGTCGAAAACAATGTCTCTAACGTGATCTTTCTTTACTTAAAAAAACAGATAAGAAAGAAAAACAATTAATTAAATTTGTGAGTATAAAAAAATGAAATGTTCTGATGATTAAAATGATTTCTTTAATTTTTTACTTTAAAACAAGATATTCTGAATTATTGTTATGGTTTTAATTAACTTTTATATTAAACATAAAAACGTATTTTCTCTGAATAAAAATTTCCAGTATTTGAACTGTGTTGGGCTCACAACCTTTAAACTCAAGTATTGAATTCTTTTTAGTAACAATTAAATGTTAGCAATTTGAGTTCTAGTATGTTACCAGGGGTTTAAACCAATGATTTTAAATTTTGAAAAAAAAAAAAAAATGGAAGGAAAAAAAAAACATATCAATGATCAAATTTTAAATTGAAACAGCGTACAAACATTTACAAGTTTGTAAACTGGTTTCGCTTCTTAAAAGCTCATAACTTGACACGAATTAGTACTTATACAATTTAATGATGTAAATCACCCAAATAATTGAGTAGGTAATCAAATTAAAAAACTTTTTTTAAAAAACTAACCATATGCTTTATTTAAAAAGCTCAAGTTGGATTAATTTCTTGATATATATTAATACTTGTATCTTACCTAACAATTCCTCAACTAAAGAGGCTGCTTTAAGTTCCTCAAGGCTTAACATGGTCTCATCAAACTTAGTCACATTTCTGTCAATATCCATAGTTCCCCATGCATGCTCAATGGCAAACAAGCATACAGTTATCATTTGTACAAGCTGCCACGTTTCAAACTTTTCAGCAATAATAAGTGCAGGGAGAGAAGATGTTAATTTATTAATTATTGGTTCTGTTTTCTTGAGATCTAATAAAAACAAATAAAAGGCATTTCTTTTAATGACTGAACAATTAACTTAAGATAAAAAAATATTATCTGTTTTCAAATACCATATCTCATAGTAAACCAAAGGAAAAATCAGCACAAGATTTTTTAAAAAAAGGAAATTTTTTTAAACAGTACCAATACCAGTACAGAGATACTAGACTGTTATTAATAAGTCAAACAACAAACTAATTTGCTTTACTTAGATATAACAAATGTAAATTTTATAACAAAAGATTAATAAAATATACTATTTTTAATTTCAGAATATCTTTGCTAAAGACAGAATTTTTTAACAGTTTTTATTGATGAACAGCTTAAAATAATATAAGATCAATATGGAAAATGTAAAAAAAAAAATTAACAATATCAATTATTTTAAGTTCTCTAATACAAATATTTAGCTAACACTTGTAATCAAGTTCAAGACTTCCTTAATCAACCTTCTTTAAGAGTAAGGTTTCAATAATTTTGAAAAGAAAACACAGCAAATATGACATTTTTGTACAAAAGTAATTTAGTGGATGAGTCTTCAATTCCCCATTTAAAAATTCTATAATACGATTACTGATTGGAATAAATTATCTCTACAATCAGATGAAAGACACAGATCAATAATTATGAAACTGTAAAACACCGTCCTACAAGATTATACTGGATTTGCTGAAAATAAGATTATGACCCACAAAAATGTGACTAAATAAAATTTGTAATTGACCTTCTTTTTCATAAAATGATTAGAAAACTTTTAAGGTATTCGTTTGGGTTCCACACAAATATTTTTAAAAACAGCATTATAATTAAAATTTAAGAAAAAATACTTTTTCAAAATAAGGGCAAATTTGAGCATAAAAACTACACATCTTATGGCAAATCTACAACAAATTGTAATACCTAATTATCCAAATAATTTTTTCTCAATCAATAATATGGTTTCCTGTCTTTTGAAGTCAAATATATAATAAAATAGAACTAAATATATTGTTTAACATTTAATATTGAAAAATTCTAACGTTCTTATTTAAAATATAATAATAAATTTTGACTTAGACCTTAGCGTTCAGTTAAAAACTTAACATTATACAAAATCAGCATATATAGTTTAAAAGAATTCTAAGAAAATTTTTTTTTGCAATGTACGTTAGTGTATATATTCCAGAGATTAGCAAAGATTTACTCAAAATCAACGTTGTCCTGAAAATGCATTTAAAGTATGAACTGCTGAAAATACAAAAACAATTAATTTTATATGAATAAAATAATTATAAATCATAGCACTCATTCTCAAATTAAAGAGATTAAAATTGGCACATAATATGGTTCATTTTGGCAACGTCATGGCTTTTATGAAAAAAATACAAAAACAATGTCTTTTGAGGAGTTATTTTTAAACTATGACTTAATGGCATCACCATTTTTAAAAAGGAAGAAATTTGCGAATCGTCCATTTTTAAAATGGAAATAACTATGAGAAGAGTCCACTTTTAAAATAATTTGTGAAGGGTTAATTAACAGATCTAAATTTCTTCTAAATAGACACCTGATATGTTAATTAACAATAGTTTCAACTAATGCTTATTTAATGAGTGCAATTCCATTATTGTATTTTTATTTTTGTACACAAGATCTTTGACTATAAAAATAAATTAAAGAGATTTTTTTGAAAAATACAGCAACTTTATTTTGTTTGAGACATCATTGGGAGTTTTCTATTATTAAAGGTCAGAAGCACACTAGGGAGGTAAGGGGGAAGCGAGAGGAATATGGAAGGTGGGGTAAATTTGTTTCCCATAGGTCCACTAGCAAGCAAACAATGAGGGAATGAAGAGTTTTTTCCTCCAGGAGGCAAACAACTCCTGTAAACCTCTCGAATTGGTTCGACGCTATTTTCGCCTCCGTAAAATCTTGCCTCGTCTTCACACAAGATTGTGTTTTGCTCAAAATAAGGGACGGTCCTGAATGGAATTAACATTATTTGTTATGAATGGAATTTAATGTTATGAATATAAATGTAATTAAGAATATTTCTTATGAAAAAATTAATATAATTTTTTTGAGAATTTTAAAGAATTTGACTAAGGATTTTAAGAAGTTTAAATATATTTTTCTAGTTCTGCATGTACTTTCCAATTTCTAAAAAAGAGAAGAAAAAAAATCCTTTTTTTTTAAATTTATTCATTTATTTATTTATTTTTTTGAGGTTATGTGCAAAAGAATTTCAACTACAGTGTTAATTGAATAATAAATTAATAATAGTTTTATATAAGTCTTAAACAAATCTCATTAATGGAAGAAAGTGAAAAATATTCTTCTCTACATTATATTCTCATCAGAGATATAAAATTCTCAGTAATTTACCTCTGGAGAATATTGTTCTAGAAGTAATTTATAATGAAGTCATACAATAATTTTATTTCATGTAATT